TCTTATTTTTAATAGCGTGAAACCAAAGTTCATGATTACTATATTTTTAATAAAATTCAGATTTACCTATTGCACACCCATCGCTATTGACCATGAAAACTTTTTACCTCACACTAATTGAATCATATTTTATTATTAATATTCATTCATTCATATGTGTGGTTAACTGGTTATCATTTGATGGAAAAAGCCAAAACAATAATATACAGTTTCTTGGTATTTGTCGATGTTTTTCTACTTCGTGACATTATTAATGGTAGCTACTATTTACAGTCGTTCATAATTCAATCTGTTACAAAAGTTATGTTGTAGGAACCTGTTTCGTTTATGGTTGTTTCGATGCGTTACAGAAAAATTTTCGGTGCAACGGTATAACAACTACAGTTCAAAGTTACTAAAATTTATACAAATTAGCTTACGATTCTGATTACCTTATTCCCTCATATTTAACAATTTTCTTTCTCAATAATGGTAAAATTCTTTTAATTAATTAAAAAAATATTTTTTCTAGGCGTTCTGTAGCTCCTAGAATGTGAAAAAGTACGTCAACAGACAACATACATCTGTATGTTGTCTGTTGGCGTGTTTATTAGCTAGATAAATGTGATAGGTACCACTAATTGATTGTATATTAATGTTAAAAATACTTTCACACATTATTGAAAAAGTTTATCTAATTTTTACAAAATTCTGAAATGTAGTACTATTTTAATTCCATAAAAATTTCTGATCAAAATCAAAGTATGAGTAAAACCAACGAGAGAATGTCAATCTAAATTGTGGATCGATTTCTCCAAAGTTGCTGAAACGGCGCAAAACAATCCAACAAACATCAAAAGCAATAACTTAAAACCTTGGTAGCTCGTTGATATAACGCCAATACACTCCTACCCGATTTTCGTTTCCACCCAATTTCTCTTGATTTATGATTCACACTAAAAAACGACCTGCTCACTCTCAACCTTGAAATGCAACGGTCAGGTGTATCTCTCATCCTCTCTGTCTTTACCACACCGAAATCGATATCGGAGTCTGGTACGACTCATATTTCCGAAATAAACGATAAATTATCAAAGACAGACATGCCCTTGAAACAATTTCCGGATATGAGAAAAACTACGCAATTTATCGATTGTCCTTCGACTCCTCAAGGTCCGCAAGAACAATTTTCTTAAAACTTTAATGAAATTAGAACGAGCTTCGTGAATCGATTAATTTTGCAACATTTTTTCGATAATATAGGTGGAGAGGAAGTTGATACAAGTGACTCAGTGAGAAAGATGAGATAGTTGTGTAATCTGACGTCCGCTTTCCGAAAAATTTTACATAATGGTGTATTAGTCGGGAGGTGGACTCGCGGGTGAAATAAGGAATTCTTAAATTTTTTTTGTTTGATTGATGGTGTACTAGTATTTGGAAGGAGAAAAAACGACTGGCAAGAGAAACCAGGAAGTTATTCGTATTTGTCGGAGGTAAGTATAATAGGTATATGGGGCGATTCATTACTCTTGTTTATTTTCATTTTTAAAATTATGTTGGTTCTACGATCATATATCCATCACACTATAAAATATGCTAATAACTATTAAACTTCCGTTTAGTTTGCAATTTCATTTATACACAGTTCACATTTTTATTACAATAATAAATGATGAAAACTTTTTCAATAAAATTAACTGTATTTCCTGCTCAATTGGTAAATTCTGAAAAAAGAGACTTCCTAAGCGAGAACCTTTTTTCCACCATATACAAGCTGAAGGGATTCGATCCGTCTTTAATTAAATGAGTAAAATTAAACAATTGAAGTGTGTAGTAACATATCCCGAAATCGTTGTTAAGTAACAACAAAAATTTCAAAATTCGTTCATGTTTTATGCCACTTTCACACTTGTCTATGTAAACAGCAACCAAATTTACGAAGATAGTGAACGAAAAAAAAAGGACAATGAAAAAGCTAATGCAGTCTTTCAATTCCACCATGAAACTCTGTCTATCTTTTAACGAAATGATTTCTGTTGCCGTACTTGTTTGTTTTATGATTTGCAATTGTATACAAATGTCCGTTGTAAATACCGCCCAGGAAGAAGTCAAATAGTAAGACACCAGCATTCCCCCCGGTCCTTCCAGTCTTTTTTTTTCCCCTTAAGAATACTAAATTTTTTACAACTAATCCAGTAGTTTCGAAAATTATCTCTAACAAAAACAAAACGGAAACGAGACGCCTACTTTTTCGTATTCTGCGAGTAATAAAACGGGAAGAAAACAGAAAATTATTCCCATTTGTCAAATGATCCCTATAAACAATATTAGTTGAGACTCCACAAGAAAGAAAAAAATCATATTTTTCTAAAATATCAATAATACTCAGAAAAAAAATTGCATGATTTAACATATTTAATATCATAAATCGTAACATTATTTCTGAAAAATAGCGTCTGAGCTGTCTATACAATTTCCACCGCACGTATCCCACTTTTTAGACTTACATAATTTACATACACAGTTTCGAACAGGTATCCGCTATTTATTAATTCAATCTAGTAACAGGTGAGTTGGGTCTTTGTATTTTTGTAGCCGCTGTAGAATTTTTATCACAACTATTTTTGTCACCGCATTCATTTTTAAAAAATACCGCCTAAATTACACCTTGGCCAACACAGTGGAAATTTCCTACAAGGCGATAATTTGATGAAAGCAATTTTTAAAATTTGCGAAAACGTTAATGAACTTCGCCAGGGTCGGATGTGCTTTCATATTTCAACCTGTTTTCAGCATTTACACTGTTCTGTGGACTTTTCTAAGAACCAGAACATACAAAATCCAAAATTTAAAAGAATGCCGTTAGCTAATAAACTTTCCAATTCTAATTTTAATTTCTGAATAAAATTATTGTGGATTGAGTTGCAATTTATGTTGTCAATGGTTATTACATGTAGATTATTTATGGGTGTCACAGCAAAGGGGAGTGGGATGCATATTGCATACATCAGTTAAAAAATATTATCTTGAAAAAAAAAATCATTATTGAAATTATTAAACATTATGTTACGATGAAGGTACATTTAAAAATAATAATATAATAATAAGGTATTGTTATAAAGATCAAGCACAAATAAAATTGTTCGGTAAAAAACGTCATCGGCAAAATTACGCTATAATTTAAACAATAATTATTAAAAGTTGTTCTCATAAAGCATAATTATCTCGACCAATTACACCACTGTCAATACTTTATTTAATGTCATGTGAACTATTTTAAGAACCAATTGTGTCCTAAAATTAATTTTGCCAACGTTATGTCAGTACTATTTGAAATATGTGATTTCATCCATTTTACGATCTCTTAGCAATGATGCATTATTGAAACAAGTTAAAATAATTTGTCCCTCTTATCTATTCACTGCAGGTTCCAGAAACATGCAACAACGCATTTTCGATCCTGCTAGTTGAACGTACGAACTAGTTAGGAATTTTTATGAGCACAATGTGCTTTCAGATAACGAACGATCTTTCCGACAACAAAAAATAATCAAGAAGAATCCCACACAGAATACGACCATTCGGAAAAACACACGCCGTGGAATAATTTACAAATATTGAGTCATAACCTGTTAACAGAAGTGCTTACATTAGAACATTATCCTCATATTTGAAACACAAACAGTGAATTGAAAATATGTCTAACAGGAACTGCAGCGTTTCAGATTACATTTTAAATAAAAGTAGTTTGTTTATCTACATGCCGCAAAAAGCGATAACCGAAGCTGCTCCCGTATGTATTAAATACACAGAAATATTATTGTCAAAATTTTAATACACAGGATAAATGATGGTAAATTGTACGACGGCATGTGGATTATTCGATTAAATCAGTTGCATTTACGCAGTTAAAACCTAAATAATTGAAGTAATACAATAATCAATCTAAAATCTGTACTAGTGTGCCCATAATGAGTACAGCCACTCAAGATAAGCTGATAAAAATTCTACAATGTCGTATATGACGTAATACTTGGGTGTTTTATCGTTCTAGGGCTGTGGTGTAGGTATAGAAATTTAAATCAGGAAAATTTTTAGATGAAGTCACAGAATTTGTGAAATGAATGGCGAGGCAAATTTTAGTCAGCATTTGGGCATTTACAAGAGAATAATAAAATATATATAGAATTCCATAGTAAACAGCCAACAATTATGGAGGTTGTCTGTCTACTAAAATCGCTGGTAGACAGACAGACGGAAACCGCAGACCGACATTTCGTATTCTGCAAACTCTGAAATGTAGAGAATACACAAAATTATTTTATGACTTGTCAATTTCATTGAATGAAAATAATTTTGTAAAAAAAAAATTACAATTTTAAAGTAAATAATATTTACGAGATTTATCACTTTTTTAAATACTTTGTAAATACATACTTGTTTCTACTTGGCTTAAGTCAAATGAAAATAAAACAATTTCTTGGCACTGCTCAACCAACAGTGGGAAATCAATGTAATCTGTGACAGTAATCTTTTACAATGTCTTTTTTCCTCGGCAGGCAAAAGGTATAGTTCAGTTCGTTATCCCTTGGCAGAAATTCTAGATTCCCAATAAAAAAATTCCATTGACAGAACCAATGTAGCAAATGGGGTCAGATAATTATGATATCTTTTTATTGAGCGGATATTGATTTTTATTATTTTGCAATTTTGTTAGCCCATATGTTCAAACAAAATTCATGTTTTTTTCCACCCCTTACTAATGGTAAATTTTGAAGGGTCCTTAGCGGTAGACCCGTTCCTAAACTTTCATGACCCCCACAACCCTACAGCACTTGCCTTTTAACAATAAACTACCCACACAAAATTAAATTTTTATTCTTATCTCTACAACCACGTAGCTCCATCAATTTTAACTTGTTTATGTTGTCTCCGCCATCCACTCACGTTAAAACAATCGGGTAAAAATACCACCGACTTAAAAATAAAATCCAAAACAACCACAACTAATTAGAACTCACCGTTAACCATCGAAGCCGACATGACTACAAATACCTGCAACAAAAAAAAAACACTATTTCAAAAATCCTCCTCCACTTGCACAACCATGAGTAATCAAATCGCCAAACAGAATACCTCCTAATCAATTCAATAACAACGTAAATCAAGCACGGTTCCGCTCGCTTTTTTCACGCGGGGGCTCCGAGGGGCCCCAAATTGCCTCAATCACGTTATTGCCCCCAATGAGTCACGAATTTCGCGGCTTTTACAAGAAACATGTGAGTTGGTAGAATGCGACAGTCTGTTGGTTTGCAAAAATGACGGTTTGGCGTTTAGGGAGTTGTTAATTGTGGGTACTTACGGCTGGGGCTTTCTTGTTGAAACTGGGGCGTCGGGGGCTGATGTTATGTTCTCTGCGTATTTGAATTTAACACTATAACAAGAGAAACGTGACCGCTATGTTCAACTGCCATATTAGAAACAACACAAGGTAGATGCGCATGCGTGGTGGCTGTCGTTTGTTTTGGTTCAGAATGGAGGACGTAGGGAACTGTAATAGTTACAAGACTTGAGGATAGAGGGTACGGAGTGTTGTAATTTGTTGGAATGTGGTTGGAACTATGTAGTATTGGGACCTCTATTATTTTTAATTCTTATAGAATTATTTGACATCGTTAAACTTAGTAAAATGCATCCATTAGCAGATGACACAATAATTATAGATATTATAATTTCAATCCAAAAGATGTTGGCAACATTTGATAACTCAATGAAACGGTAAATTCGTATTGAAAATGCAGTTACAGATTTTCCAAAACCAAGTGGATGTGACATTTTTTGTGATCACTCGTATTGTCTTAATATTATACACAAGATTTAATAGTGAAAATTATGAAAGGTATTTCACATTTTCGAAAATGATAAATGCAATTTTTCATGATAATTCTCAAACTTCCAAAAAAATTGCTTAAAGATTATTTCGACTGAACTTTCCTCGCTCAACAATTCCTGCTTCTTTAAAAAGTTATAAAATTTGGTTTCCCTCGAACGGAGCGCGGTCCGCACAAGTCCTTTACAATATGAAACATACCTATAGTTAAACAGATAACGAGAAAAAAATGTTGATATTTTCAGTTTGTCAGTACCTACTTGCTTAACTTTAACACTTTGACTGTGTATGTTTGTACTTCGAAAAAATTCGACTATTAATTAGCACGCTCAGATTACAAGCAGCAGCGGTTAAAAGAAAATGAAATTTCATCAATCTGATGTCGTCCACATATACGAGAGGATTAGTTAATTAAATAACCACACTCAATTTTTTTCCCCAGAAGCACTCATAAATATGAAGAACATTTATTCGACAAAACTCTAAGATCACGGACAAATTTTAATTAACGATTTACTATGTTTGCAATAAAATTAAAATATTGGCAAAACTTCACAGTATTCGGTTTTTGAAATTTTAAAGTTAAATTGTAAAATATCGGTGATATAATTTTCGCTTTTTCACAAAAATCTGAATGCCAAGGGTAAAAACTCAACACGGATTCATAAATCACACATGCACCAGCATGTTATTTTATAAAATTTAAAGCCTATTTATTCCTGAAAATGGTCAGATGACGTCATTATTTTTTGATCACGGGTTATCATGTTTTGTATAACCTTAAAACGTTCGGAAGATTTCACAACATTCAGTTTTGCAATTTCAAAGTTAAATTGTACCATACAATTTTGATTTTTTTCCAAAAAATCTAGGGTAAAAACTTAACACTTATTGTTAATTCGCACATGCAGGTGTGTGTAGTTATATAAAATTTAAGAAACATTTATTCGCCCAAATTAACGAAAAGATGTTGATTAACGATTTACCATGCTTACGGTAACCTAAAATGCTTGCAAGTTTTCAGAGCATTCAGTTTTGCAGTTTCAGAGTTAAATTATTGTAAAATATTGTTCTACAATTTTAATCTTTTCCCCAAAAATCTGGATGTCTAGGGAAAAACTGAACACGGATTCATAAACCACATGTGCAGAAGTATTTTATTTTATTTTATAGAATTTAAATAATCTTGACTAATGTAAATTTTGGTGGTGGAGACCAAATTTTCATTAGCGTTTTATCATCTACATGATATTCCTAATACACTTATAAAATTTGACAACAATTTTATAAGTGTATTGTTTTTTCGTATTCTAGGGACCATGAACCGTCGAGAAAACATAAAAGTAGCCAATCATTCAAAATGTTAAAATACTGAACAAAAGACACCTTATATAATGGGTGAACAATTTGATTTTCAGTTAGAAATATGACTACGACATGCCAAATGATCTAAAAATCTACGCTTACTCTGATACAAAATATTATAACTATCAAGTTTTTTTGAAATAGAATGTTTATATTTTGTTAGGTGTATACGTATTTTCTTATTTTTGTATTTATGTAAGTTGATATTTTGTATTTTAATTTGATTACACGGTGTGAGTTAGGTACCTAAAAAGGGACACCTCGTATAACTTTTTTATTTATGAACCTATGTTAATGGGGTTTAGTTTATAAATAAAGGCGAATAAGTTCTATGTCCGCATCACTTTATTAACATGAAATAATTGATAGAAACCAAAATAATAATAAAAAAAAATCGTCCTATTTTTTTTAATCGAACTATAAAATTAAGAAAAACATAAAAATTAGAGATGTACCGACTGTAAGTCTGGCCGACTAACCGACTAGCCGATTGTTCGGCCAGTAAAAGCCGACTAGTCGGCCGACTGTTCGGCTTTGCTAAAACCAGTTTATAAATGCGACAGACAGTATGTTTTTTCTTTCTATTTCTCTGACTACCTTAAAAATTTATTTTATTTTGTGGGTATTGTTGGTGATTTAAAAGCGACGGTACGGTTTTCAGATTTTATTTCGTTCTTTACTGTTCGAGAGTGCCAGGGATAAGAAGGAAGGGTGTTTAAAATGGTACACAGGTAAGCTCGGTTTCGAAGAGGTGGAAGTAGGTAAAGAAGGAGTTTAGAAAATTCTAGAAGGGAAAAGAGAAAGTATGTAGGAGCGTAGGACAGGTAGACGAAAGATAGGAAGTATTTACATTTATACAATTATTATGAATGCGCTCAGGTTGAACACCTGATTTTGTGGGAACTGTTGTTCCTACAATTTTAATAAAAGGAATAACTAAAGTTCCTTTGTTTTCCAAAAAATGTATTAAATTTGTTTCGATAATTTTAACATTTAATTTTTTTTAGTAACTCAGTACAAAAATAAAGAATAACACAATTTAGGGCCAGTTTATACAATATTTTAACTGCGATTAAGTTGATCGGGCATTTAACAAGGCCATTAGCGACGTCTGATTGGCGTAGAGTCGGTCACATGGTACTTTAAGGCGGGGTTAAAAATTAAATCGCAATTAAATATTCAATTGAAGTTCTGTAAACCTGGTTTAATTGTTTTATATACTATTTTAATTTTAATAAAAAAAGCCGACCGGTCGGCTGTTAAGCCGACCAGTCGCCGACTATAGCCGACGATGAAAAATGGCCGAATAGTCGGCTTATCCGACCGGTCGGCCACTCGTCGGTACATCCCTAATAAAAATCAATATTTATTACTCTTAGTAAGATTTTTTTGCTGTTGTAAAATCATATTTCCTTAAAGCATTTTCTGCCCTTAGTTTTCTAAACACGTTTTTACGTAAGTAATGGAGCAGAAAATTAATTAATTTTTTTTAAGAAAACTGGAATAATTAACGAATATTAAATAATAAAGCTATTTTTGAGGTGTCCCCTTTTATCTGGCTCACCCTATAGAGTTTCCACTTTCAGAAATAATAAATCATGTTTCTCTTTTTGGGTTTTTTGGTATTGGACACGTGGTAAAATACAAAAATGCAAGTTTTCTGTTTTCATCCGTCTTTTCAACTGTCAACTATTAACTATTTCGTTAAGGCAAATAATCTTATTTGAACTATTCGGATGTATTTCAACTTTACCACACCATTAAAAATTGAATAGGACCGCTTTTTTATAATCTCCATGAAATTCTAGTATAACATTAAAGTTCCAGATATTGTACACATTCTACAATTAAAAATTAACATATACCTACTTAGTGGTTATTTCGATAGGACACACTCCATTATCTCACACTTCTTTGAAAAATAATAAAATTTGATTTTCCAAACTTTTATTTAAGTATCTTTTTACATTAAAACAAATATAAATAATACCAGGTAAAAAACTAAATCACACCCTACATATTGTTTTGACACTCCTTTATTTACTTATATGTATGTGTCTACGACATCCAATTTTGTTTTAAATATCATTTTCACTTAACTTGTTATTAACTAATAAACCACCTGGAGGCAACAATGACAACATAACAACAGAAAAATTGAAATCGTTAAACCCAGCCGCAGATAAGATCCTGATGCTTGTCTCCGATTAAATCACGTTTCAGTAATCCTGCAGGGAATTCATTAATCTTTTATCTGTTTATTGGCTTTGACACATATTTCCCTCCGTCGACCGCTCTATAATTTTCCTGATCTAGATTTATGATAAATGTATGCTTTATGAAAATGCTTTGTTGTAACAAGAGCATAAAAAGTGAAAGCGACGATAATTTTATGCACACTCATATTTTCAGCACTTTATGTCTTGTATTTTTAAATATACGGTCAGTTCTGACGCCAGATAGCACATTTTATTTAATATTTAGCATAATGCAGTTTCTATTAACTTTTGGTTCATGTAAATTTTGTTTACAATGAGTAGGTCGCATAAATAATTGACATTATGTATACTTTTAAGAAATCTCATTGAAACGAAAACATTACGGTTTATGTTATCTAGATAGGTAACCCTGAGAGTAAAAAAGTGTATTTACTTTATTCTCTTATTCGCATACTTTCGCAGTCTTGTTGAAACAACGGCTAAATTTATCAAAAATTATTTACAATTTGCTGCGTTTACTGCAGCTTATGATAACGACTTCATCTCAATGCAAAGCTAAATATTTAGATCTTTTTCGATTGTGTTCGAAATTAACTCGAGGTTTTTTCGCGTTTGAACATTCTCGAGAGGAATAACAGTCAGATGTTTGCCGTTTAGAATCAAAGATAAATTACGGCGAGCAGTTAGTTTTGCTCCGGTTAACTTCGTGCAACATGCCCAACAGCCAACGAATCCATTTCCTAGTGTTTGTTGTCTTGCAAACTCAAGATAGTGTCATTTACATTTACATGTTCAGTTTACAGCAGATCGATGCACTTGCTCGAAAACACCATTTTACAACGATGGGTTTTAAATTGTGGTTAATAGGATCATCGGAGTTGGTTGGAGGGTCAAAGTGTCACAAAATTGCACTATTATGGGTATCTAAATCACTAATACGTGCAAATCAAGAAAACATTGTTGCAAAATTTTAGACATTTTTAGTATTTTAAATAAATTAAATTAGGAAGTATATATATGAAATGTAAAATCCTTCGAATTCATCATTGGGTCTCAAATACTTTGTTGAAATCTCACACTGTTTACGTGTTTCAGCGGCTACGCTGTCAATTACACCCATTAAATGGTCACACACTAAAGATGACTTTTTTAAATGAAACGTCCTACATACTATTATAGGTTTAGGATTCTTTGTGTAAAAAGGAAAAAAAAAGATATGAAATTCAAGAGTTTCTTGATTAACAGGAAGGCTAATTGCAAAATGTTTTGATTATACGATATGTTGCTAAATGAAGTGAAAATTTATAGAAGTTTCGAAAGAAATAACTAATTAATTTATATTTAATGTAGAAATAATTAAATGTTTTTTTTTCACTAGCAGCCAGGACGCATGCAAATGTCGACTCATTTAGTGGTAGCAAATTCAACTTTTGCTACCACGGGTTCAAAAAGAAAAATTGAGGTTATGTACGCAATGTTTGATGTGATTATTTCTAAAAAAATGAACAAATGTGTGCCACAAACATTACTTGAGTATACGCATTATAGTTGGTAGACGGTAGAAGATAAAATGATTAACTCAGCGACAAGTATAAACGGTTTTCTTTGTGTTGAAGATTTAGATTAAGTTTGATTAGAAATCAAAACAAAATCATGTTGCGTCAAAAAATTGAACGTTTATTTTTTCAATTTATTGTCTTATGGTTTCTACTAGTGAAAAAAATAGTATATTAACCACGGTTGCAAAGCCACTTCTAGACCTCGCGCTTCAGAGCCCTCGACGCTGTGCGTCTCGGGTTCTAATTAGCGCTCGGTCTAGAATGCTTGGCCTTGCAACCTTGGCTAATAATATACTATTTTTTAATTTTCAATGTAAAATCATTTGCTTGCTTCACTTTGGAAATTTTAATCGGAAAATAGAAAAACAAAATCGTATCTAATGTTTTTTGAAATCTGTGTGATATAAAGTGAAGATAATTTTTTTCAAGTCACTTTTAGGCGTAAAATCGTATGTCTGTTTTAAATTTAATTTATAATTGTCAAGTTCAGTTTAAGATATGGGCCGATATTAAACAGGCATGCCCAAGGCTGCCTCGGTTTCAAATTACGAGCATGTAGCGCTCAGAAAATGTGCAGCTACTTGCGAATTTCTAGAAAATTCCGAAAATACACTAAAGAATTCCGTTAATAACATAATTTCAAAGCAAATAGTTATTTTTAATTAATATAAATTTAGCTAAAAGTTTACAAAACTTTCCAAAATGTTTACAAGTAGAGTTACCCTTGATGCTATTTTATATATGTTTAAAAATTTTTAAACAAAATTATTGCAGACAGATATATTTAATAAAAAAAATGTGATAAATTTATAAATATGAATAATAAAATTAAGATATGTAGCAATTTAAAAAAAAGTCAAGGGCAAAAATGAGATTGGGTCTAAAAATTTAAAAATATTTAATAATAATAAGAATAACAATAATTTTTTTCAAATCTTGAAAAGTAATTTTAGAATTAAAGCATAAATATGATCAAATGTATAAATATAGTGATACGTTTTTCAATGAACACAGATCTACCTATCGCTCGTTCTAAATTTATTAAGTCGGCTTAAGTTGCGTGTATTTGAATCACTACTGCAATTTATTTTATCAGCAAGTATGTTGGCATCACTCCACTTTTAATTTTAAATACTGTAATATTGTTATTGATGATACATGTTCTGTTCTTCGTACTCATTAAACTTAGAGCATTTAACATGAAATTAAGACGAGTCATAATTAAAAATAATTCTCATACATCTGTGTCAAATTATTTACCATTCTTTGATTTATGATGGACAAAATGAGTAATTTATATAATAACAACATCTTGTTGTACGCACGTGATTTTTATATGATAATTTCTTGGGACTGCATTTATTGTTACTTGTAATACTTACGTATATACTTTAACTAGGACACAAATTTATTTTTGTCTTCTTCAGTAACTCTTTTTGTTCATTTATTTTGCTTTTCCCCCTACTCAAATGTTAATTTTTATATCTTTATAAAGTAGGTTTTAGTATTAATTTTAATGACTTGTTTTTTTTCTGTTTTCGTCGTTGTTTTTGAATTTTCTTGCTCTAAAATTTATTTTTGTAAATAAACACCTTCTCCATTTTATCACATTTTCTCTCTTTTGTCTTTAATTTTTTATAATCTATTTTTACATTTTTTTGTTTCCTGCTTCTTTTATAGCACTTGGAAAATAACAGCTGCCGCTTAATTTTTTTAAACTAATTTAGCTTTAGTGGATTTTTTTCGAATTTACTGATGTTCTTTTAAGATTTTTTTAAATACTTCTTATCTATTTAGTATGTTGAATTCATTCACGAAAATAAAATTATTTTTATTTCAAAAACTTATGATGACAGGAAATTATTTCAAAACTATAAGTATATTTAAATAATCATATGTTTTGTGGAATTGTATTGTAAGGACAATAAAGTTAAAAGAATTTATTTGGATTTTTTTCGAATCCTTTAAAAGTTTTTTAAATTCTCCGGAATTACTATTATATTTTTACTCGAGATGTTGGACGTTTCATGTGTTTTTGGTCTTTACGGTGTAGAAAATACAAAAATGCTAGTTACATGGAATTTCAGGAATTATCAGAATTACTGAATTATACGGAAATATTGTAAATTTGGATTTGGAAATATTACCAATCAAAATTGGTATTACGCTATACTGATGCTGTTTTTTAACTTTTGTTCCTTTTGCCATTATTTTCATAACATTATAATAGTCTAGCGTTGTATTATTATCGCATTCCTTTTACTTAATACCCAGGGTGGTATTTTTTCATTTTCCACAATAGTCGCGAACGGTAAGAGAATATTTACAAAAATCTAACCCCAAATTTTTTTTATTCATTTCAAATTCATCGGTAATCATAATGTGATATGTTTAAAATGTATGAAGTCGATTGATAAATAGAGAGAAGATAAAAACTTTCAAAAAACGATTCTTGGACATAACATTGATTGACATAATTATCAGAAACCACTTGAAACTTTATTGTTCTCTCTATGGATGACTGTTTCCTACAACATCGGTCTAGGTTTTATCCTTATAATTATTTCATAAGGGTCTTCACAAATGTATGTTGCAACGATTACTTGCTTGTCACAGTAACCCAAAAATAACGTCATCAAACATGTTTTATTTTTTAAATGAATTATATCATTTTTGTTCTTAATTTTAGCAGAAGTTTATGTAACACTAGTAATGTTCAGATCTAAAAACTAGTTTTTAATTTTTATAGACATTTTATTGCCGCGAATAATTGTGTTTCTTTTATTCTTTCTATTGTTGTAAATGACGTAAGTGGCTGCAATCCATGTTTTCATTAGTCTGGAATTTTAATTATAAACTGCGATTTTGTAATAAAATATAAATAATTTACTTTTACCATGGTCACATCCTCTGATACATAAATGAAGAGATAAGCAACGATCGCCACGCCTATTTTAATTAAAATTTTGTTGTTTTTACAAAGATTGCTGCTACAAATAAAAGACACGAATAAAATCAAACAAGTCGAGGTAAAACTAAACAAACAAAACATACACAAATATAGTTTAAGGAATCCTACATTTTTTTACTTTTGCGTACATAATTCTGAAAAATATTTACACAAAGATTTACTACAATTACGTTGTACGCATATTTAGAACTGCAAATAACGTACATTATGCAATTATCTGAATCATTAGAGAATTAATAAGTAACAAATTAATTAATAGCAACACGTCGTAAAGAGAGATAAGGGGTCTAAATGTCATGGACTATTTGTTTAATTTTGTACTATTTTAGTAAGAGATTTTTTAACTAAATAATAACACTATTATAACAAAATTATTTTTTCTCACTTAGATTTATTATGCACTAAAGCAAGTAGACTAAAATTTAGCATCTTGCAGTGTTAGTAGCGTCCTTTTTATTTTTAAAATAACCCTGCATATTTTTTTCCTATACGTAAGCGCCATAATTATTAATAATCACAATTTCCGAATTAAAAATTCCGCTGTTATTTTAATAAAATATTCGCATCGACGACCATAAACAAATTTTTCTTGGTAGCTTTAGTAGTCAGTATTATAAATATGTAAGGTCATGAGTAATGCACCAACCATTTAAAAATTACCAGACGCCAAGAGCAAAAACCGAGCCAACTCACACGATAAATACGAAAAAGCAACAGGTAGCTGCGAAAGCAACAAACGCCAAATGTCACACATGTCCGCGTTTGCAATAAATGCCAAAATCCGGCGTCCGACCCATATGTTAACGCTAAAAAAATATCCGAAACGCAATACTAGCAAGACAAATCGTACATTATGTTTTTAATAGGGACCAACTCGTTAATAAATCACGTTGCAGAGGTTTTTATGAATTATCTATAAAGCATTTAAATTTATTCCACATGTTTATTTAGCACATGCATCAGTTTCTTATGTAATGGGCAGAATAAAAACGCGCGTTTGAAATAAACAGGCAATTCTCACATTCGTGCCACTTATTTGCGGCGATTTTCCGCAATAAATGTGCGATCGTTGGCGGTTTTTAAGTGGCGAAAGACAATAGTAACGGTGAAATTAACGGAATTCTTGGGTATTAGCACGGAGATTATTAATAGATGTGGGGAAAAATTTTTATTCAAGGAGCGATCAGCTGGAATGGAAGCCAATTTCGAATGAGTTTTTTAGATTCAAGGATGCTGATTTCCATATTCAGGGACGTGACTGTGAACGTTATTTCTTCATTAATTTTTAGGAATGGAGAAATGTGATCGAACAATGCACTGATGCATGGCTATTTATATCAATTATCACCACAAAACGAACACATCTGGGAGGGGTGTTTATTATCTGTTTTATTTACGATGGAATGTTTGCGTGCACTGTTTGTGTTGGGTTTTAGGTTTTATCATCAAATAATTTAACAGATTTTAGAGGTTTTTTTTGCAGAGGAATGTGGTGATACAGAAATATAAAGAAGTGAAATTATGAAATTAAATTCTGCATGCCCACATAAACATTTAATTAAATAAATTCATATAATTTGTGTTCTTTTGCTTTTGTTGTGTGTTCTGTATTTATAATTTTACTGTTGTAGGTGGTCAACGGATTTTCCATATGCTAGTAACAAGAAAATTTCATCAAAATTAAATATAAACCAATACTCGAATAACGCAAACTTCTGAAGGTAAACACTTAAACCAGAACATTGTTATGTAGTTAAATATTTATCTTTGTATCATTATAAAAATACTTTGCGAACTAAATCTAATTAAAAAAAAAATAAATTCTTGAAATATGGCATTTTTTTTCAACAACATAAAAACTGTAAACAGATAAATATATTGAATAAAGTAAATACGTAATATAGTCAGTGATTTTTTTTTGTTTAATATATGTGTCAAACTTGATAAAAAAATATATGTTTAAGATTATTTTCTACGGTTTTAGGGTGCGAAAAAATAAAATTACTTGTTAAAAACAATATATGTATGTATTTTTGTATTTTGTAATCAAAATTTGTCTTAAGGTTTTTTCTTACGCTGTCCCAAAATAGTTATTAATCTAAAATTAAGACCAATCTGTCTGTCTGTGTCGAAACATTTAATTTCCGAAACTACTGGACCGATTGTTACCAAAACAAATTTTATGTGTAACTTAAGAATAAGAATATCATACAGGTGGTAAAACGGTAACCAAAATTTTGCTAATCATTCCCACCAACAATTAACTACTGTAATTTTTTTTCTTTCATATTGATGTCTATTAACATTTGACAATATAGTGATCACTTTCTCTATGACACCATCAGTTTTTGGTAGTAATAAATTAATTAACTATATATGTAACAGTAATACGAAAAATCTAACACTTAATCATAATGTTGACGAAACTGTAGCTTCTCACGAGAATTTGACGATAACTGTTATATTATAAGTTATAATATTTAATTCCTGAAAATACAGGTCCGTACAAATCACATTCCGTTGCAGGCGCCGACTGGAGGGCGCGGTTGTTTATTCACTTATTACTGATTACTGCCGATAATATTGCAAATTTTATTTTTCACATATCATATTCAGTGATTCGTATTAATTTCAGGCGCAATGACAGTGCGTGGTCATTTCTAAACAGGAGTTGATCGATTATTATTATTGCCTGCGCAAATATCTCAAATGCTTTAATTTAAATCAACAAAAAAATGTATGATTTAATTTTTTTAAGTGTAAATGACACGAAGACCATAAAAACTGACTTAATTAATAAAATTACCATGAAACATGAGCTCCATTTATTTAAAATTTACGTCCGTGAGTAGAGAGTTCGAAAGTTGAAAATTCACTTTTTTGTTTATATAGAGAATCAGTACACCGTCTTTGCTTGTATTCTGTTCCAGCGATCTTGTAAATAAAATTCCTATGTCACTAACATTGTGTCATCGGTAAAGTCTGTCGTGTTAGTCTGTACATATAAGTGAAAGTCGTTGATATAAGTAATAAATAAGGGAGAACCAAGGAGTGACCTCTGTGATACTCTGATGTTTAGAGATCGCTGATTAAATTCAGTTCCTTTCAATTGTAAGTTTACAACCTATTCATTAAACATGATGTTAACATTTTACAGCCACATTGTTTGAACATTTTTCTAACTAATTATATAATTGATGTAATAAAACTTTTTCAAAAATATCAGCAAACACAGAGTGACAAAGTTTATAAATTATAATTATTGGATTGGTTGATAATATCTTTGATTTTATTTATTGATGGTACGTCGGCAGTTTTAAGGTAGTCATAGAAAGCTGGAATTTTAATATATTTGCGATTGGTCTCGCTAGAGTTGAAATGATAATCATCTGTAATATAATTGATAGTATTGATATTCATCTAATAGAAATCTGAGTTATTTTATAAATTATAATTAAAAATTTCCTAAATTTAAAATGAACTTCAAATGGTTGACATACAACATTAGTAATCTCATAACGACTGTCTTTCATTAGGTCAATAGCTTTTTCATTTGATTTAGACAAGTTCAGAGCAACAATTGTCAAGAAATCATTGAAAGTAATTACCAATAAATACGCATTCAGTTTCAAATTTCTTAATTTCTTTATGTACCCATTTTTTACTTATTCGTTTGATTTTTCTATAATCCGTTCTTTTAAATAAAAAGTAAGTGTTAAATTCTTAATTCGTACAAATAAAACTAGTTTATGCTAAGAAAGTAAAAATTCATCCAAAAGTATTTAGACAAAACTTCCCTCGCCCTTGCAGTACAATTAAACAAACCCTGTTTCTTAAATAAATTAGGAAATTTCATTTAAGAATTTAATTTTTTTTATAATAACTATCGATAAGTTAAAACAAAAATGTGCGTGGACTGTTAAACTACAGGAAAAGAAGCAGATAAATTTGCATTAACGGTTTACCATCCTTACGATAATACTAAAACATTTGCAAGATTTCTGAGCATTCGATTTTGAAGTTTCCAATTTGAATTGAAGAACGTTATCAAATTTTTATTTTTTTTCCATGAATTTGGATATCTGGGGTAAAAAAATGAAGTCGGATTCATAAACGACAGTTACAGGAGCATATTATTTTATAAAACTTAGCACTTACTAGGCAAAATTTTGGGATGACGTCATGAAGTTCTTGGTAGGGAGTAACAAATTTTGGCTAGCGTTTTACCATATGCACCAAATTTCGAAAATATATGTGTTTGTTTTTGAGGTCACTAATTTCTTGACCGAATTCTTGCTTCTGTATAAACTTAATGATATATTTTTCGGCAGTTTGAAGTTCATTTAGCTTTAATTCACCCGTTAATTTATCTGTTTTATGAGTGCAATTGTGTATAAATCGATAACAGTAAGCTAATACTCGTTTTAATTTTTTGTAAGTGCTAACTCGATGGAAAACGTTTAAATCTGGTTGTGTTTGAGACACTAGTGTTACATTGCGTCTTTCCGGCGGAAGTTCTGTTACATGACTAGGAGGCTTAGGCCAATGTGACGAATCTTTTAATAGAAAAGCTGGACCATGAAACCATATAATAAATTTTTCCCGGTCACTAGGACACATACCCCTTGTAATTATATCTGCAGGATTTTGTTGACTATTTACATAGTGCCATTGTTCCCTTTTTGTCATTTCCTGAATTGCCGCCACCCGGTGTGCGACAAAGGGCTCCCATCTTTTTGGCTCAGCTGCTATCCAAGATAGGGTTATCATAGAGTCTGACCACAAATAAATCTTCCCAACGCATATATCCAACGTGTTAATAATCTTCACTGTAAGTTTTGCGAGAAGAACCGCCGCGCATAGTTCCAGTCGCGGAATTGTTGTTGGTTTAAGTGGAGCAACACGAGATTTTGAACAAAGTAAATTTATTTGTCGTTGCTTGTTTTCACCAACGGCAACTACATAAATCGCGGCCCCATAAGCTTCTTTACTAGTGTCACAAAATCCATGTAACTCTAGAATTTGCGGAGAAAAGTAATTAATACATCGCGGAATTACAAATTCGTCGATTCGGTGTAAATTTGCGCAAAAATGGTGAAAGGTTTCGCTTAATTCAGATGGTATCGGTTCATCCCAGTTTAATTTAAGTTGCCACAATTTTTGTAATAAGATCTTTGCTACTATTAACATTGGGCTTAAGAGGCCTAAAGGGTCAAAAATTTTAGCAATAATTGATAAAACGTTGCGTTTCGTGGCCACCTTAGGCAGTTTAATCGCGGCCAATTGGTATTTGAATAAGTCCCTTTGACAATTCCAAGTTAGACCTAGTGCTTTGGTTTCAAAATTACTGTCCAATCTAACAACTGCGGTATTATTTTCACTATCCTGGTTTGGTAAAAGCTTAGTTTCATTCGAGGCCCACTTGTAAAGTTCAAAACCTCCGCCCTTTAAAATATTGTTTAGGTCGTCACGTAACTTGATACCTTCGTCTACGTTATCCACCCCGACTAACAAATCATCCATGTAGAACGAATTCAAAATCGTTTTTGCAGCTTGTGGGTAGTCCGCACTTGCCTCGTATGCCAATTCTCGCAAACAACGCATTGCAAGAAACGGTGCGCAATTTAAACCATATGTTACCGTTTTTAGTCGAAATACTTGTATCGGTTCCGTCTGATCAAATCTATACGCGATACGAAGTAAATCCCGATCTTCAGGTCGTACCCATATTTGTCTAAACATTTTTGAAAGATCAGCTGATAGTACGTATTTGTGTAAGCGACATCTAACTATAATCGAGAACAAATCTGCTTGCAAATTAGGCCCTGTCATTAAGTTGTCGTTTAAGCTCTGCCCATTACTTGTCCGGGAACTAGCATTAAAAACAACTCGAGTTTTGGTGGTAAGACTCGTTTCTTTAATAACGGGATGGTGGGGTAAGTAAACACACTGAATGGAAGGATCGTCCGGAACTGTAACCCTTTCCATGTGATTTAACGCAAGATATTCCCCTAGAAATTTGTTATACTCGTCCCTTAAACCGTGGTTTCGTCCGAATTTACCTTCAAGGCTTTTAAATTGGTTTATTGCGGTTCTTTTTGATTGGCCAATATCCAGAGGTCTTGTTTTAACGGGAAGCGCTACTAAAAACCGACCATCTGGGTCCCTTTTAGTTGTGGTGACGAATGAAATTTCGCAGGCTTCGTGTTCAGTGGTGAAATTTACGTTATTATCCATGCCCTCCAATTCCCAGAATTTTGACATCTGGTGCTCCAGACTGTTGGTGCTTAAGAGGCAGGAATTTTCTCTTGGCCCTTGACACTGCAGACCCACATTTGTATATGGGCCGCCCACTAGCCACCCAAAGCAGCTGTTCTGTACATAAGTAATGTTGTTTTGTAATTTTATACGCCCTTCTCTCAAAATGTCGTAAAATAGTCCGGCTCCGATTAAAAGGTCTATTTCGCCCGATATATAAAATTCAGGATCCGCCAAAGTTAAATTATCCGGTATTCGCAATGGTGTAGGGTCAAATGTTTCGACTGGTAAATTATTGGTGATTTCTGGCAGTACCAAACAGCTGATTGTGTTTGAATAATTGTCACAAAGTGATTTAATAAAGACCTTTGCAGCCCGAGTGAGAGTAGTACTAGTTTGCCCTATACCAGCAATAGACACCTGACATTTATTTAAATTTAGTTTTAACAGTCGGCATAATTTATCGGTGATAAAATTACTATCACTACCGATGTCCAAAAGCGCTCTAACTTTGTGAAGCTGGCCATTACCGTCCCTAATTTTAATTACGGCTGTGGAAAGCAACGTGAGTGACTTAAATTCAGTCGAACAGCTATGGTTATTTACACTTTGCGGTTCCCTTTTTTGTAAGTGTAGTAATGTGTGGTGCCTGCCATTACACGTTCTACAATACCGGGAGGTACATGATCTAGCGTCGTGGCCCTCGCGTAAACAATTTAAGCAAAGTTTTAGCCTTTTTACTTCGTTAATGCGGTCTTGGATGCTAAGTTGTAAAAAAGCCGTACATTGTTGTACGAAACAATGGGATGATTGTTTACACTTTGGACATATCGTTAATTTACGTTTAACTTCGGGAAACTTAGATTTTGTGAAGTTGTACCGCGGGTTTTCCGAATTTACTTCGAAAGAGTTGCAAAATTCCATTGATTCAAGTGTTTGGCAACGCTGTGATATGAAGGTCGTCATTTCCTTCAGCGTTGGCAGTTCATTGTTTTTTAATTTTGATTCCCATTCCCGTTTTGTCGCAAAGTCAAATTTTGTGGACACCAAATAAATAAGAACTGGATCCCAATTAGTTACATCTAAATTTTGAGCTTTTAGCGACTCTAAATTTGCATTTAACTGATCTAAAAGCGTCCGCAATGAATTTGGAGATTTGTTAACTTGTGTTAAATTAAAAAGGCCGTGGATGTGATTGTGAACAATTAAGCGCTTACTATGATAACGCTCTTTGAGTAATCGCCAAGCAGTGTCATAACTTTGAGCGGATATAGATAGATTATCAATAATTCGTTTTGGTTCGTCCCCAAGGCAGGAACGCAAATAATGCAATTTTTGTATTTTTTCTAAGTTGGTGTTTTCATGAATAAGGGTACGGAAACTATCGTAAAAGGCCGTCCAACTTGTATATTCCCCGTCAAAATGAGGTAACTCGATAGTGGGCAATTTAATATTGGTAGAACTACTAGATGCCTTAATTGTAAACTTATCGATTAATTCTTCTGCCTTTGAACATAATTCGTAGTAACGGTTTTCATATTCAAATCGCTCGTTTTCGTCTGGCTCGGCGGGATCGGCATCATTTTCAATTGTTAATAATTCAAGTTGATCTTGTGCTTCAATAAACTGTTTTAATAGCGGTTTAAAATTGTCATAACGTAAACACAATACCCTAACTTGATCGGCAGATTTGATCGTATTCAAAAATTTATCAAAATTCGTGGTAGTCGTACGTATTTGTCTTTTTTTTGTTTTTAAACTGGCTTCCGTCATTTTGGAAGAGGTGAGTACGTCAAAGGAGACAAATGAAAAAGTGTGAAGACAGGAAGAATAATGACCACCGACCTGTCCTTTGTTGTGGCGTCCTGTGGTTTGTCGCGTGGACAAGGGTGGCTTCAGTGATTATGTGCAGCTTCCGCAGGGATGTCGTCACCACGGGGGGCTCGATCCGTCGGGCGTTCTGGGCGTCGTGGCGTTGAATGCTCGGCACCAGTACTTCTTTTGCTGCCGCGTCCTGGTTGGACGAGTGGATGGGGTGGACGTCGATGTCCGTGTAAACTGCTGAAGAGGATGTCGTCACCGCAGAGGGCTCGATCCGTTGAACTTCCTGGGCGTCGTGGCGTCGTAAGCTCGGCACCAGTTGTTCCCTGTTTTGGCGTCCTGGTCTGACGCGTAGATGAGGATAGCGCCGATGTCCGTGTGGAGTTCAAAATGAGGATGTCGTCACCACCGAGGGCTCGATCCGTCGTATTTCCTGGGCGTCGTCGCGTCGTAAGCTCGGCACCAGTAATTCACTACACACGTCGTAGCGATCCGGCTCGAAGGACCATTTTTTTGTTTGTTACTATCCGTCGGTATGAGTTCGTAGGAATAACTTGTAAAGAACACTTGTTTTGTTACTGTCTTAATATATACGCTAATTTAAGTCCACTGCGTATTTCTTTACTGCGAACTCATACCGACGGATAGTAACAAACAATATGTAATAATTCACAACAATCAGTCCAGTAATCATCTCAACATACAGACAGGGACCTACTGTTTTATACTACAGAGGGTCACGAAAGGTTGAGGAAAGATAAAATTAGCCGTTTGCGCAAAAATTAATTTTGTTGGACGCAGTGTACTTTATTTTAACTTTATTGTATCACAACAATGTCAGAAAAATTCAGTGACCAGTCTTTTTCATTACATTTCTTTTGAGGGGATGAGAGATAAATTTTAGCTAGCACTTAATATTTAACCTAGACATACGTTTCAAACTTCACATTTCAGAGACTGCATAGCCAAAAAATTTGCAGCAGTTAAACACCAGACAAACAGAAACGAAAAATGTACATTTTCATATACTACAAGATGTGAAACTCAAAAGACATGAAATTCCAATGCAACTGAAATAACGTCATCCTTCCAACTATCATTCGACGAATTAGAACGTCAAAAAAATGTAAAATCCTCAAAGACTGATTTAAAAATTATTCTTAATATCCGATAAAATTGAAAATGAAAAACAAAATTTATTACCACACGTGAAACGTATAACTTTACGACCTCTCAGATTTCTTGTGATTTACGCCAAAACAAAATAATAAAGTAAACGCTATATTTATCTGAATTTGAAAAACTCTTCATAACGCAACGGTAATTCATCCAAAATCACATCCACTCAAATTCCATTCCCGTTTACCGCTCGCAATTAATGTCGCCTAATTTTAAAGCCCGTTAACCAGACCGAAATAGCACTCTGGCATTTGATTCATTGTTTTCGTTTTCATAAGTCATAAACCGCTCTATTTTTGGGAATAACCAAAACGGAAAAATAAATTGAGCGAAGGTGAGCGAAAACCGATCCTCGTGCAGACGTAGGAAAACGAGAAATCTGACTCGGCACCAGAACGAGAAAAGCGACGCTGTTGTGTTTACCCTGAGAATTTTTTTTCTTATCGTTATTAACAAAATCACCATTATTTCTTCGTGTTTGAATGAAGATAAGAGCATTGTGTTAAGTGTGGGAGAATTATTATTTTTATCCAGATCGACCGCGTAGGCAACCGCCCGAGCTTCAAGTACCTTAGATCTGAGCGAACTTTGCAGCAGTTGTTGATTGTAGTTGGCTGTGACAACTTTGTAACAAGTGATAATCGCATAGAGGCTGTGCGCTCAACACGGTCCAGTAAGTTTTTTCAAAAACACTTTTTTTCTTACTAACACGTTTCTGGAACCATTATCTTTTCATTAATTTTCATAATTATGCCATTATTTTGAAAAAAATTCCACATTCTTCGACCGGTATAAGTGGATGCCCAAACATTACAAAATACTTTTTTGTTGACAAACGTCATTTGATAAATTATCCGGAGCATTGTGCACGATTTTAACGGCTCTATTTCTTTCATCTTCTGTCGTAATGTTTGTTTATATTAGTGGATGCAAATTACAAAATACTCCATTTGCATATTTAAGTCGGCGCATTTTACATTTTGTATCGTCGATCGCTACAAAAAACCCACTTGTCGACCTAGGTACTAGTTTCCAAAATAAATAAACGGAAATCGATTGTTGTTTTCCATTTTATATAACTCGTCTAAAATTAGTCATCGAAACGGTGTTCGTGTATTCAGTTTTGCAATTTACCTGATTCATTGTGTGCATTTTACTTTAGTCTGTAAGTTAGCTAGAATTTTTTGAAAAAAAGGTAAACTCGTTAGACGAGTGTAGAAACTCGATTTTAATCTAATTTGACTGGTGTTGTGGTTTTTTTAAATGTCACCACGATAATGTCTTATTTATGTGATTATGAAAGGTTAGTTTTAGGAAAAATATGTTTTTTTCCGACATATTTTTCCCGATGAGTTATATTTGTTTAAGGAAACAAAATATATTTGCCCTGTTCACAAAAAAGTGAAAAAGATGTAAATCAAATTTTTATATATATATTTTTTTTATACTTTGATACACATAAAAATTTCGAAACTGCAAAATCCAAAATTTTGAGTTTTCAGATTTTTACAAAAAAATACTCTAAACTTTGGTGAAGATTATAAAAAGTGAAGATTTTGAACTTCTGTGATTTACACAGATTTTAAGTTATTAGATGTACCTAAATATTGATTGAAAATTTTTGAGAGTTGTGTTTGCCATTTCATACGACGTGAAAAACACACAGGAACAATAATTGTCATTTAATTTTAAATTTTATGCAGTGTTAAATGGACCTTATAACATTTGAAATAATATTCAAACTCTTTTTGCTAAAGTTTTCATTTAAGTGACAACAGAATCAGTAATTTATAGGAAAAATTGATTGTCCGAATTAAGATCCCAACATTTTATTTTATTGTCGCTGTTGTTTTGGATTTCTAAAAATATACGAAGTGATTTTAGTGACGTCTAGAATTTCTGAATAATAAATAGACCTTTTAGCTTCCCAAGAACAGCATTATTATCATATAAAACTGTTTTCACAAAATTAGGAAGATTAAACAAAATTTTGAGAATTAAAATTCCGGCAGTATTGAATGACAGACTTCAAAAATATGGAACAGATTTTTTAATGTGTTATTCGATATTAAGAAGAGTCTTAATTCTTGAATTTAAATTTCAAAAATTTTGCACACGCTTTGTAGTCCTGCAGATTTTCAAAATGTTTATCAATAAAATGTAGATTTTTAATTTGTGGATATTGTTTAGATTTCTTTTTTATCGACTGAATTTTTTATAGAACAATTTGTGGAATTTTAACTGCAGAAATTTTAATGCATACGTTGTAAAATTTTAGAATATCGCAACTACTCGAGGGAGTTTCTGAGTTAAACATAAACATTTTAGCATTTTATCTCTTTTGTGCAATAAAAATAATTTACTATATACATATTTTATTAAGAATTTAATTTTTCGTTATAAAATTAAGACCGTCACTAAGATTATGAGTGAAATACTGCAATCTTACAAAAAAACACACCAACACGTTTCGTATAAAACACACTGCGTCAGCATATTCATGTCGTTATGATGACTATGAAATATCTATGTAACGATGTTTTTATGCAAATAGTTTTTTCGTCTTCTATAGTTTCTTGATAAAGCGCGAACAAAATAAGTTGTAATATAGTCATATTTGCACCTACATCGAAAAATTTGTTATATTATTTAAAATCGATCGACTTTTTAAGTTCATAATTTTAAAATTCATAATATTTTTTTTAAATAATTAATAGATAAATATGTGGAGTTAAAAACATAATCTTCTAGGGTTAAAAAAAAAATAAGATTCGCAGTTTTTCATGGAACATTTAAATTTTAGACAACACTAAACTTTTTGTGCATCATTTTGAATTAAAAAAAAACATTTATAGAAAAGTTTCGTCTGCAAGTTTTTCGGTGGGGGTAAATATATTAATTTTGATGCAAATCATGTAACACTAATAAAAAAATACGTAAGAGTTTGTTAAGATGAGCCATTAACTTAGTAGAATAATAAATGAATAAATAAACTTCAGTTAATGTTCTGTAATACCTAAATCGATGTCAGCGACTTGGCAAAATTTCAGAAAAATCCATTGTGTAATTTCCAACATAAACTGTAATATTTTGTTATGAAAACTTTATTTTTGAAAGACAATTCTTATATCTAATTACAATTAAAAAGAGAGGTGAAATTATTAAGAATCAAATCATCCAGCACATTAAGGTCAGTTAGAGAAAAAATTGCAATTAAAATCAATTTGTCATTTTTTTTTGCAAGGACAAATAGAACAATTTTGCTTAACCAGACGAAAATGGAAAACATCCATTATACAATCCGTGAATTATTATTATCGAAGAAGTGAAATGTTAGAACTTGTAATTTAAACAAAAAATACAAAATTTATTTTTTCTAATCTTTTAAAACATTTAAATGTAATTTCATAGAATATTTGACAGCAAGAGTAACCTGAAATCTTCTTTAATCCGTTTATCTCCTCCAAAAACTTGTGACATCTTCTCATATTGCTATTGTAAAATGCGTGAAATATTTTGTAGGTTATGAAAGCACTACATTTTCTGAAATCGTGTTTCAGAAAAAAATAATGAATAAAGCAATTTATTTTAATAGTTATCAAAAAAAAAACGACTAAAATCAATTTTCTGCAATTGACACTTCATTTTCTTAATTATTACAAATTTTATAATCAAAATTTCGGCTGAAATATACAAACAACGTGCTCCTTTCTTATCAAATTTGATATTTATGTAGAAATAGGGTTCGTCTGTATTTCAGAAGGAAGAGAAGGTCCGCCTATAGCTGGCGTTTTGTCGTTGAAAGAGTTTGAAAGAGCCTGGAGTCTTTGTTTCAAAGAATCTTGGGAGCCCCTGATTTTTTAAGATTGAAAGAATCTTGAGAGTCTCTTGTGTTTGTATTTGAAACAATTTGAAAAGATCTTGAAGGCTCTTGGTGTTTTGTTTTTGAAAGTGTGTGAAAGAAATCCTGGTGAATCTGGTATCGTTTTAACTATATGTAAAAATCTTTGGAATCTCTTGTTTTTGAAACGGTTTGAAAGAACCCTAGGGGTTTTTTGTGTTTTTTCTTTAAGGATGTGAAAGAAATCTTGGAGGCTCTGAAGTTTTTTTTTTAATGTGGAAGAACTTTTAAGATCTCTTTGAAAAGTCCTGTAGTGTCTTCTCTCTAAAAATGTAAAACCATCCTTAGAAGCTTGGAGTGATCTTTTTTTAAGAATGGAAAGAAATTTGGGGGCTTCCTGTGCTTTGTTTTTAGAAGGGTTCGAAGAGTCTTAAGGGTGCCTAGTGTTTTTCTTTAAGAACGTGGAAGAATCTTGGGGACCTGAGTCGCTCTTTTTTTTTAAGAATGTGGAAGAGTTTTGAGCTCCGTGGGGTTTTTTTTTCAAGCAATTTGAAAATATCCCGTGCACTCCTTATGTTTCGTTTTTGAAAGAAGTTGGAAGAAGCTTGAAAGCTTTTTGTGTCTTTTTTTTTACACTAAATTATAAAAATTGTAAGAAAAATATAATTTGCAGAATCAAAATTTACAGTTTGAAAAAAAATTGCGCTTGTTTCTAAATAACTTTAGACAAGTATTTCTTGTATTTTCTAAATTTTTTTGTATACACCTGCAGAAGTATGACACTAATTATAAGAGTCACATTGTTAGATTTTTGACTTTTTTTTATATCTGAATCCATAAAAAAAGCAAATTAAAAAGTTTTGTCTGGCATGCACGAGTACACATTACACAATAGTTGTGTATGTTATTTCGCAATGTGTAAAAATGATTATCTTTCGTCTTATCAATTCAAAAACACAATTATGTTTCCACACTTGCAGTTTATCTCTTCCTGCTCGCACACCCTTCCAACCAGTACAGCTACCAAGAATTAATCACATCACTCACTAACCTCTGTAAATTTTTCAAAATTTCGAACGAAAAATTTTACCGAAAACCCAGTTTAACGCGAAAATTTGCAAATTCTTCCGCGATTTTTATCACCACTCCGAACCCCAACCCGATGACTCTCCGTTGATTACCATTTATTTATAGCCGTGCGAATGCACCATCAAGTATTCGTGTCATTAACACGATCATCCATTCCAACAAATATTTTTCTCGTAATTCATACTTTATACGCGACACAAGTATCACCAGCGGGCCATAAAACGAGCATCAATTCAGCAGGGTGCATCCCATCAAATTCAACCTTCACACAACTGTTTACCAGCGATTGTTTTCGAATCGATTTCGAACAGTTTAGACAATTAAATTGTGTTTATTTTATTATCATCGTCGCAATCGCCCGATACTAAATATATGTTTATGCGTCTTCTGAGGATGGCTGGCTACATCGCAATTGTAGTGGCCGGCGATTATTTTCGGAGACTGCAATGGAAAAATTTATTTTTTCTGCGATTTCCACGAATTTTTTCGTGGGAGGGTATCGGATGCTTTACCGAAATAAATAATTTTAGGTGATTGTTGCGCAATGGTTTTACGCGAAAATGAAAAGTGTGCTACGGCGCGATTATTTGGGGTAACCCACATCCGTTCTCTTTTCGCAAAATGGAAAAATTTGAAAATCGCGGTTGCTATTATTAGAATTGTTTCTTAGGGGGCAACTGCAAATTGCAACAGGATGCGTTTCTCTTAAAATCGTGTTTTAGTTTACCTCCACAAACATACAACTCTGATCTAAACCATTCGAGCAACTTGAGAATAATACATGTATTGTTTATC